GTAAGAAATTAGAGTTTTTGAGTCAAACCGTCGTTTTGTACAATAAGTCGCTTAACACCCATTAGATCACTATTATTGCTAATATTTAGTAAACATAGTATTTTTGATTAAAAATATAAATAATGATTTGTGTTCACATATTTCGAAAACTATAGCACAGAAATGATAAGTTATATCGTTCAAAATCTGCTGTTCAATTAGTTAATAAACACTTTTTAAAATTAAATAAAATTGTAATCTCAATGTTAATTTAAATACAATATAAATAGTCTACAAGTTTTGTAACATTTTTAGAAAATTCTTGTTTATTTCCCGTAAACCTTAGGTCCGGAAACGATTTGTTTTCGTGTGATATAACACTATCGGAACTGAAAGTCATTTTCAAATAATAAAAGACTGAATTGGCGTCTAATTTAGAGATCTCTTTCAATGCGTTAATAGCTGACTCTTGGAGTGGAAGGGGTTGGTATGTATGCAGGTATGGCATTATTTCGACAATCAATGGCCACAAGTCTTTGTCACGCAAACCGAGATTCACGGCAATGGAACCGATGCCACAAAGTATATCAATCTGGAACTGATAAGCGATCGTAAACCTATAGGCAGAGGCCTTGTCTTTCTTGAAGCTGATCAGCGCCTGTGATCTCAAAAAGGCTAAAATCTTGGGAATCACTTCTTTGAGAGTTCGCACGCGTATGAAATCACCACAGATTTCAGACATCACTTGTAAGCAAGCAAACGAGCGCTTCGTCACAATCACGTCCTTATCTGTGAACCTCTCGACAAGAGGTGACCACAACTTGTGAGCCATTGGAAGCAAATGGTCTAAAGATAAAGACATTTCAATAAACTCAGTAAAAATAAACAACAGTTTTAGGCAAACCTTCAAATGGTTTCAAAATGCGCAGACATTGGACCACAATATCCAATACAATGAGTCTGACTTTGGGGTCAATGTTGGAAATTATATGAACACAACGATCGCATATCTTTTCAATTAATGGTACATAAAATGGCACTTTTTTCTTCTCATGTCCTGTCGTGTTCTCCTTATCATCACATTCTTCTTCATTATCACTAATCGTATCTTCGTTTTCATTCTCAAAATCTTGAGAAATAGTCTTATTTTCAACAAAATCTTCGAAAAGTTTGATAAAATTTTGAGCACTTGTTTCGGAAGAAGTCCGTTGATTGCATGCAATCACTTGCTTGCCGTCGGACTCAACATTTGGTACAAAATAATAATTTAACGTAAAAACAAACGAATACAGGACTTGCATGAGAGG